CATAAAAAAATCTGATTTGAATCACACATCACAATCTGATTTGGGTCACTTTGGCCTGCAGTCTGAACGCAGCCATAGAGTCAACCATTTGGGACTACTACTAGGTCATGACATTTATATTAAAAAAGAACTCTCTTTAATCAGAGGACGACAGCCCACCTTCCCCAGCCTCTCTACTTCATATTTTGGCGCAATGATTCGGAATGATCAGCCCTCCCTCAGACACAAACACATACCAGGATATTAGCCTCTCTGAGCTAAGTTAGCTTATCTACAACAAAGGTAACAAACTACAACTTTTCCAAATGGCCATGAATGTGCTTCTAGTGACAATGTCAAAAATATTGAAATATTAAGGAGGAATTTTTAATTCAAACCCACAGTTTAAAAGGGAAATTAATGTGAATGTGAGGAAAAACAAAGAATGTGCAGTGTCGCAATTCCCCCTAGTGGCCGTTCTTTGCAGTGCTCTGATGTAGGCTGTTTTTCAAATACAGTGAGGGAGCAGAATTGAGATGTGTACTTACACCCTAATGAAAAGACCAGTGTGTAGGATTTAGTGGTATCTAGTGAAGTTGCAGATTGCAACCAACTGAATAACGCTCGCCTTCCAAACACGTAGGAGAAACTAAAGTGGCCGCAAAGCTTGTGAAAAAGGAAAAGGGGCCTATCTAGACCCAATGTTTGGTTTGTTCATTATGTGTTACTGTAGAAAAATGTTTTTTTCACTAGAGGCTTGATAATGAATTGGCAACTGTAGGATTAGCTAGAGTTTAGAGTGGTGTTGAGACTTGTTAAATGTTAATGTGTGCACAGTTTATCGTTCTTTATTCTAAAATGTAATCCTGCTAATAATCCCCATTTAACTAAATGTAATCTGATTGCTTATTTTTTCTGTAACCTTTTTTTTGTATCCTACATGTAACAAATTTACATGTAATCACTATCCAAGTCCACCTACACCTAGCCTAGCCTTAATCCTAAATGTAATATTTAACCCTGTAGGGACCTGCTTTCTCTCACAAATAGGAGGTGAGCCCTCATAATGTGACAGGGTTTATATCATTGACACATATATGTTGATGAAGTGGGCTACACACACACACACACAC